CCTCAACTCTTCTGTTAGACAGTTCTAGAAAGTCTCTTGGTCTGCATTCAACATTTAATTGCATGCTTTTGGTGACACAATGTGTGGTGTAGTTCGCAGGCAGGCTTATTTCTCGTACTATCAAGTTCTTTAGGGGAGAATGCTGCACGGATGCACCTACCTGAAGCTTGATCCTGAAAAGACTGTAGAAGTGATTTCTGTCTTCGTTTCCCAGACTGAAAGTCATTTCAGACTCCCTACTCCTCTGTGAGAACCAGCTCAACCTCCTCATCCACGTCCACTTAACCATTTATAAGCAAAGAAATCTGAATAGTGTTGGGGGAGAAAAGCTAGAGGAAAGTCAGACATTTTTCCTCTAACTTTTCAACTGTAACACTGTTGTTCAAAGATGACGGTTGTGATTACACTGTTAATTCAGAGGGCAGGAGATCATGGTGGTTGGCTCCCAACTACTCAAATCTTTCAAGTATCTTTTCCCTCAAGAGAAGTCAGAAACTTGGTTTGCACTTGATATGGTTTGGCTGTGTCCCCACCCAAATCTCATCTTGAATTGTAGCTCCCATAATTCCCATGTGTGATGGAAGGGACCCAATGGGAGGTCATTGAATCATGGGGGCGGTTTCCCCCATACTGTTCTTGTGGTAGTGAATAAGTCTCATCGAGATCTCATGGTTTTATAAGGGGATTCCCCTTTCACTTGGTTCTTATTCTCTCTTGCCTGCCACCATGTAAGACCTGCCTGTTGCCTTCCACCACGATTTTGAGGCCTTCTCAGCCATCTGAAATTGTGAGTCTGTCAAACCCCTTTTTCTTTATAAATTACCCAGTCTCGGGTATGTCTTTATCAGCAGCATGAAAATAGACTAATACACCCTTAGCCTCTGCATGCTAATTTCATGAACTCTGCACAGGTTGCATGACGGCCAATAGCTTTCTCTGCTGGTGGAGTTTGCCTCACCATTTTGGACATTGTATTAGAGAAACATTTTACTCATTCTTTTTGTTTCAGAACTAAATTAAAACTGAGTTTCAAAAAGAGCTGATGGATTTCTGGAGCCAATCACAGGCTTTGTCATAATCCATCCGTTTGGCTGGTAGGGGATGAGTTTCCTGTAGAAATTCAAATTTGTCTTAAACGCATCTTTGTGGATAAATCTTGTGTCCTCACACAATAATTCTCTCTCTCCTCTCTCTGGTTTATACAAAAAAAAAATCCTTATAACACAATACCTCCTCCTCTTGTCCACATGGGCTGTCAGCTTATGCTGGCTTAGAAGCACATCGATTTCTTCGAAAGAAACAAAGGATAAGAACATGTGCGCTGCTACCCATGAAGAGGGGAGCAAGTTTAAAACACTTGTGAAAATGACGTGTCTTCTCCCTAAGTTTTCTATTATGTTCAGGAGTACACATGTAAGTTTGTTATGTAGGTAAACTTGGGTCATGGGAGTTTGTTGTGCAGATTATTTCATCCTCTAGGTATGAAGCCTGGTACCCATTAGTTATTTTTTTCTAATCCTCTCCCTCCTCCCATTTTCTTCCCTGCAATAGTTAGGACACGCTGTGTCGTTCTGGGTGTGTCAAGACGCTGTGCTAATTAGAAGATAATTCATATGATGGATGTTAATAAGTTAATAACATGATGGGTGTTTATGTTAATAAATTAAGTTACATATATAACTCAATATCCTCAGAGGCTCATGTGGTTATCTATCTATCTATCTATCTATCTATCTATCTATCTATCTATCAATCAATCATCTATATCTATCTATCTATCTGTCTGTCTATCTGTCTGTCTGTCTGTCTGTCTCGAGATAATAGTGTCCCGTTCCATCCATGTTCCTGCAAAGGACATGATCTCTTTCTTTTTATGGCTGCATAGTATTCCATGGTATATGTGTACTACATTTTCTTTATTCAGTCCACCACTGATGGGAATTTAGGTTGATTTCATGTCTTTCCTAGTGTGAATGGTGCTGCAGTGAACACACACTTGCATGTGTCTTTACGATAACATGATTGATATTCTTTTGGGTGTATGTCCAGTAATGGGATTGCTGGGTTGAATGGTAGTTCACTTTTTAGTTCTTTGAAGAATCGTCACACTGTTTTCCACAATGATTTCTTATCTCACGTGCCTTCTTTCAAAATTTCTCTTACGCCCTCGTTTCTGCATTGTCGCCCGCCTACTATGCGAAGTTCTTTCCAAAGCTCAGTTACAGCAAGGGTGTTACAACTGGTTTCCATTCTTTCAGCCTCTCCCACTGGATCCTAGGTCTATCCTTTTTCCAGCCTCTCCCACTGGACCCCCACTGGGCTCTATGCACTAGAGCAATCCTGCATTCCTCCATGCCTTCACTACTCTCTCATTGCCTACAAGCCAAGCCCTTGGCCATCTGTTCTTGGCCTTCTAGCCTTCGTTTCGACAGATCACTCATCCACCACGACCTGCCACGTGTCTTGTACCTGCTCTGGAGTCCATATTGCTCCTCAAGCAAGACCTTCATGAATAATAGTTGCCTTGTGTTTCTGGTATACCCTCTGCCTAGGATAGTTTTCTCTTCCCTCCATCAATGCAAATGCTGCCCTCATTCCGGCTTCTACTCAAGTTCAACCTCTCTTCTGCATTTTGTCTTTAACTTTCATCCTTGGATTTCATGTTCTTTCTCTTGGTCCTTACCTTTTCCAGAAGAGTCCTTCACTGCCCCTTCCCAGAATCTCCACCGACAGGGTCATTTTCAGGACTCTTCCTAGATCAGTCTGAACTTGAGCTGGGGACCTCTTCAGCTAGCCATGGAGAAAGCCCTTCTTGTACCAGTACTTTTGTGGAGAGGGTAGAATGATGTCCTTGCTCTCATAAGTCTACCTGAGAAGGGGGTGTCTTGGTACTTATCAATGGATGCTAAGTTGAACTCTGCCTTTTGTGGTCTACTCGTCTTGTTAAGTGAGGAATTGTGTCTGAATTACTAAATGCACGCTTCTCTCTGTTCCCAAGAAGAAAGAAAGAAGTTTGTTTCTTCTTGAAGCTCCAACTCTGGCCTGGAGCTTGGAGTTCTGTTAACTGTACTGTATCTTGATGCCCTGTGTCCCCAAGTACAAGGAAGTTTCTGACACATTATGTATGCATGTTGAATGGAAGGAAGGATGGATAGACAGATGGATGAGTGGATAGATGGATAAATGGGTGGATAGTTGGATAAATGGATGGTGGATATGTGCATGAGTGGATGGATAAGTGGACGGATGGATCGGTAGATGGATGGATTGCTGGCTGGCTGTCTGGATAGATGGGTGGATGAGTGGGTGGGTGCATAGATGGGTGGATGGTAGGTGGATGAATAAAGGGATGGATGGTTGGATGGATGGATGGATGGATATGTGTATAAGTGAATGAATGGGTGAATGGCAGGTAGATGGATGGATGGCTTATCCATATGCCTGAAGTTTTCCTGCCTGGATTTCTGAAGTTTTCTACCCTAACTTTCCCTCACCAGGCTCCATCTACCTTGACAAACACCTTATCACGTCACCTTGGCAGCCTAATGGCATTTATCTGCCTGAACAATTATTTGAGCTTGTGGAGTCTCAGGCTGGCCTTGTTGAGTCACAGCTTCCAGCTGGGCTGTCCTCCCAAATTCACGGAGGCTTGGATTCAAACTCTTACATTGCTGAGAAGACACTGCCAATCCTCACTGATGGCCGAGGACCCAACCGTCCATCATAGAAGCTCAGAAAGGCTTGATAGATTTGCCACCTTTGACTTTCTGTTGCTTATCCATGGGGCCCAGGAGTGACATCTGCTGTGGCCATGAGCAGATTTGTATCTTTAGTCCACTCAGACATAGCTGTATCTGATCCAAACAAATGCCATTGTTTTACATTTTCTGATAGAGCCCTTCTTCCTACTGTATCTTCATAGCTTTGTGGGCTTCCCTCTCCTACACACACGTCTAACTTCAATCTCACAGATGCACACTGCACATCTAATTCAAAATCAGTTTATTTCAAAACTAACGGTATTGGCCAAGAGATGGCCATAACCACAGATGGCTCCACTCCCCCTTATTTTCCCAGAAAGGTGAAGTAACAAAAATTAGCATTTCTATGCCTACACTTGTTCTGGACAACAAGTTCTTCCAGTGGGGGGGGAAAATGATACTTTTTGAAGGCAAGTGAAGACAGAAAGAGACAATCTCCAATTCTGTTTTTGTTAATTTATTCCCAAGAAACCAGAGTGACAGCACAACAAATGAGTGTACAGGCACTGAAGTGGCATTTAAAATGATTTAGGACTCTTGAACCAGACCAATTTGTTATAAGGTCACTTAGGTGGTGGTGTCTCTCAAAGAGTCATCACTCTAAGTTGTTTCTAGGTCACAGAAGATGCTTCATAGTCCAAAAGAGAACATCAGTCACACCACTGCCATTCTGGGATTAAAAAAGAAAGGGAGAAAATCCTTCCAGGGCATATTGTTCTCAGATGTCCCAGTGGCAGCACTGCTGACTCGTCTTGTGGGATTCAGAGTCTTATAGCTGGTTATCAACATTGTAGTAATGATGATGACAATGATGATGCTGCTGGTGTTGGTGTGATAATGACAATGGCATGGTAAGATGATGATGGTGATGATGATGGTGATGATGATGATGATGGGGTGGTGATAGTGGAGATGATGATGATGATGGTAGTGATGATGGTGATGATGATGGGAGAGGTAATGAAGATGGTGATGATGATGGTGGTGAGGATGGTGGTAGTGATGACGATGGGAGAGGTAATGAAGATGATGGTGATGATGGTGACGATGGTGATGGTGGTGATAATGGAGATGATGGTGATGATAATGATGGTGGTAGTGATGACGATGATGATGGGAGAGGTGATGGAGATGATGGTGGTGAGGATGATGGTGACGATGATGATGGAAGAGGTAATGGAGATGATGGTGATGATGATGGTAACAATGGTGATGATGGTGGTGGTGGTGATAATGGAGATGATGGTAATGATGATGATAATGGTGGTAGTGATGATTATGATGATGATGATGATGGGAGAGGTAATAGAGATAATGGTGATGAGGATGATGACGGTGAGGATGGTGATGATGATGATAATGGTGGTAGTGATGATGATAATGGGAGAGGTAATGGAGATGATGGTGATGATGGTGAGGATGATGATGATGGTAAGGGTGATGATGATGATGGGAGAGGCAATGAAGATGATGGTGATGGTGGTGATAATGGAGATGATGACGGTGATGATAATGATGGTGGTAGTGATGATGATAATGGGAGAGGTAATGGAGATAATGGTGATGAGGATGATGACGGTGAGGATGATGATGGTGAGGATGGTGATGGTGGTGATAATGGAGATGATGATGGTGATGATGATGGTGACGATGGTGATGATGGTCGTGGTGATAATGAAGATGATGGTAATGATGATGATAATGATGGTGGTAGTGATGATGATGATGATGATGGGAAAGGTAATGGAGATAATGGTGATGAGGATGATGATGGTGAGGATGATGATGGTGAGGATGATGATGATGGTGAGGATGGTGATGATGGGAGAGGTAATGAAGATGATGATGGTGATGGTGGTGCTAATGGAGATGATGATGGTGATGGTGATGATGATGATAATGATGCTGGTAGTGATGATGACAATGGGAGAGGTAGTGGAGATAATGGTGTGAAGATGATGATGGTGAGGATGATGTTGGTGAGGATAGTGATGGTGGTGATAATGAAGATAATGATGTTGATGATGATGGTGATGATGGTGGTGGTAGTGATAATGGAGATGATGGTAATGATGATGATAATGATGGTGGTAGTGATGATGATAATGGGAGAGGTAATGGAGATGATGGTGAGGATGATGATGATGGTGAGGATGATGATGTTGGTGAGGATGGTGATGTTGGTGGGGATGGTGATGACGGTGACAATGATGATGATGGTGATAATGATGATACTTTCTGCTAAGCTCTGAGGCCCATTTGACTTGGAAAATAAAATCATGCACACTTTAGTTTTGGACCATTCATACAAGATCTCCTTTGATTGGTCTTATTTTTATTTATTTATTTATTTATTTATTTTGAGGCGGAGTTTTGCTCTTGTTGCCCAGGCTGAAGTGCAATGGTGCGATCTCAGCTCACTGCAACCTCCGCCTCCTGGGTTCAGCCGTTTCTCCTACGGGCATGTGCCATGACACCCAGCCGCTTTTGTATTTTTAGTAGAAACAGGGTTTCTCCATGTTGGTCAGGCGGGTCTTGAACTCCCAACCTCAGGTGATCTGCTCGCCCTGGCCTCCCAAAGTACTGGGATGACAGGCGTGAGCCACCGTGCCTGGCCTGGTTGGTCTTATTAAATAGGGTTTAAAAGCACACACTAGAGTCAGTTTTGGGCACCATGTAAAATGACCAGTGCTTGTCTTCTAGGGAGGATGAAACAAATTGGTTAGTCATTTATCCACTCATTTTCGTTTGACCAATGTTTAGTGTGCATATCTTCAGTGTGAGAAGCTAGGTATATAGAAATAAATGAGCAGGCAAGGTAATGGTCTACCATGCAACTGTGCTTTTTGAATGAATGAAGCCCATGGTCTCTTGAAAAAAGCTGATCCTGATAACACTGTGAGGTCTACATTTTAATCTACGTTATGGCTGTGGTGCTGTCATTCCTACTGGGTTGTTTCCTGGTAACACACATGCCTATGTGCACACACATTGATATTTCATACTAGCTTGGATCAATGATCTATGCTTGAACCAGAGTTGTAAGGACAAGTTAGAGTATTCTGAAGGCAGTGTCCCCAAAGCAGAAGTAAAACTTGGCACAACAGTGGACTTCTAGGTATTCGTATGGGATTTCTGCCTTCAAACCCCAGCAGTCACTGGCTTCAGATTGACAGGAGAAGAAGACATTCAATAGACCTCTCTTAAGCTCTTACTCTTGGTCCACAAGCATGTCAGATGCCCCTGTCTTCCACGAGTTTGCTCTGATGTTGTGTCCCATTTATATCAGCCTCTTCTCTGCCCAGCTGCTTTCATGAATATACCCCCTGTTTACTTCTAATCCCTTGCTTTATATTTCCTCTTCCTTTTCTTTTTAAGCATTTCATTTAAGTAATAATATTTGTGATGGTTAATTTTATGTGTCTCCTTGTCCGGGTCACCGTGCCCAGATGTGTGGGCAAACATTATTCTGGATGTTTCTGTGAATGTGTTTTTGGATGGGGTTGATATTTAAATCCGTGACTTGGAGTCAAGATGATCCTCTCTCCATAATGTGGGTGGGCCTCACCTAATCAGTCGAAGACATGAAAAGAACAAAATCTGACGTCCACAGAGCAAGAGGAAATTCTGCCAGGAGACAGCCTTCAAATTATTTTTAAAAATAGTTAAACTGGCTGGGCGCGGTGGCGCGCACCTGTCATCCCAGCACTTTGGGAGGCCGAGGCGGGCGGATCACGAGGTCAGGAGATCCAGACCATCCTGGCTAACACAGTGAAACCCCATCTCTACTAAAATACAAAAAAATTAGCCAGGCCTGGTGGCGGGCACTTGTAGTCCCCGCTACTTGGGAGGCTGAGGCAAGGGAATTGCTTGAACCCAGGAGGCAGAGGTTACAGTGAGCTGAGATCCGGCCACTGCACTCCAGCCTGGGCGACAGAGTGAGGGTCCGTCTCAGACACACACACACACATATAAAAATAGTTAAACCATGGGCATATCACATAGGAGACAAGACCAATTATGTTGATTACTTCATTCCCATTAATTTTTTAGATAAACTAACCATGGAGTTGGCCAACAAAGGGAATATCTGGGATACGGCATTTACTCACAAGAAGAAGGAATTCCTCCATCCGTCCGTCCTTCCTTCCTTCCTTCCTTCCTTCCTTCCTTCCTTCCTCCTTCCTTCCTTCCTTTCTCCTTCCTTCCTTCCTTTCTCCTTCCTTCCTTGCTTTCTTCCTTTCTTCTTTCTTCCTTTCTTCCTTCCTCCCTCCCTCCCTCTCTCCCTCCCTCCCTCTCTCCCTTCTTCTCTCCCTTCCTTTCTCCCTTCCTTTCTCCCTTCCTTTCTTCCTTCCTTTCTTCCTTCCTTTCTTCCTTCCTTCTTCCTTCCGTCATTCTTCCTTCCTTCTTCCTTCCTTTCTTTCTTTTCTTTCTTCTCTCTTTTGTTTGTAGATCTTGGTTCTTGTTATGATTGGCACAACCACGTAGGAGCCATCTGAATGGAGATAGCTTTTTGTGGGGCATCATGAGGAAATTGTATATTCTGTGACACAAGCTCTCGACTCCCTGCTTTTCACTGCAAGCGGTGGCTAATTATTGGCCGGGACACATCCTTGGATTAATGTATGCACGCCTCTCTTGCTTGTTTCAGAGAACTGTAACGCCCTGGCTGCAGAAGCCCTGTCATTGGAGCTGTCGTCGTAGTCTCCCCACAGTGAGAAAGCTTTTGCAAGTTTAATCTCATCATTGAGGAAGCTTTCAGAGACTTCAAAGAAAGTGTTTGGTGCTGAGCTTTTCCTTCTACCCAGTGAAGAAGGTGCCCGCAGTGCTTGTAACAAAACAGTCTGTGGCCGGTGCCGTTCAGATCCCAACTTGGTATAAAAGCCATGCCTCGGAGGAAACGTAACCAAGTTTTAAATATTCCCCTCTTTTTTTTTTTTTTGGTTTTGGTTTTGTCATTTATTGTGTAGTAAAAGTCTACAACTGTTTAGTGATTTTGTTGTTTGGTAATTATCATATTATTCCACAAGCTTTTTCATAATCAGTGAGCTATAAAGATGAAACTGTATCCAATAGAAACTAAGCTTCCTAAAAAAAAAAAATCTGACCTACTAGGTTTGTCTCCTAAAGACTGTCCTTTCTTTTAGTTTGCTTGTTACTGCTTACTTGGCGATTTCCTCTGGAGAAGGGCTAGCCTTGCTCAGATTGGATTTTAGAAATCGTACCATTTGATCCTCCTCCTCCTCTTCCTTCTACTGCCTCTCCTTTTTCATCTTTTCTTGTTCTCCTTCTTCATTTACTTCTATTTCTCCTCCTCCCACTGTCTGTCCTTGTCCTCCTCCTCCCTCCCTCTACCCTCTCTTCCTCCTTCCCTCTCCTCCTCCTCCTCCTCCTCCTCTTCCCCTCTCCTCCTCTCCTCCTCCCTTCTCCTCCTTGTCCTCCCCTCTCCTCCTCTTCCCTTCTCTTCCTTGTCCTCCCCTCTCCTCCTCCTCCTCTCCTCCTCCTCCTCCTCCTCCTCTTTTCCTCCTCGCCTCTCCTCCCCCTCCTTCTACCCTCTCCTCCCACTTCTCTTTTTACTCCTCCTCCTTCTCCCCTCTCCTTCTTCTCCTCCTCTTTCTTCCTCCCCTCTCCTTCTCCTCCTTCCCTCTCCTCTTCCTTCTTCATCCCCTCCTTCTCTCCCCCTCCTTCTCTCCAGCTCTCTCCTTTCGCTGCCCAGCCACACACACATACACCACAGCTTCTGGTGTCTTCTCTTTCCTTCCAGTTCCAGGATCCACTGATTCAAGAGAGAGGCTCAACAAGAACAATTGGTTGAAGCGACTTGGCCAGATGCTGAATTCTTAGTGGCTGATTCCCCTGGGATTTCGGTCCTTCCCCTGCCTTCTGCATCTGTCTTTCCCCGAGAGAACATCGTCCCTGCTCGGTGACCAAGGTCTACCCGGCACGGAGCCCTCAGATAATGTCTGCTAAACATCTCCTTGAAGAGTGTGATGTTGGAGGTGAATTCAGCATCTGGGAGGGTGAGGCGCGTGACTCATTAAAATGGAGCCACATGGTGGTGGACCGTGAACCAGGACCGAAATAGCTCCTTGCTCTGGTAACTTTTCTTATCCTTTCCCTGGTATGTTCCGGCTGGCAGCCCTCACCATGTGCCAGCCAGCAGGTCAGTTACACTGATGTCCGAAAACCTGGCTTGTGAGCAATGTACCTGCTATGTGTGCATATCTACACACGTAGGTTACAAAGGCGACCAGCCACAGGTGGTCCCCATTGCTGGTTCTCCGGGTGACCCAGGTACATGTCCCTGAGTTTCATCCCTTTCCTTTTGAGAATTTAGTCAGGATGTGACATTCACCAGACTGAACACAGCAGCTGTGGCGTTTGGAAAGGGCAGCTCCAAGTCCAGATGGAACTGCAAAACAGGACCAAAAAATATGATTAAAGAAGGTACCCGTTAGAGTTGGCATAGCATATATATACGTAATATAAAATACAAAATATATTATACCTATTTTATATTCATAATATAAAACATAATATAAAAATATGTATTTGCTGTGTGTATATGTAAATATTACAAATATATATAAAATATGTTTTATGCATATATTAACTATAAAATATGTATATTATGTACATATGTATTATATACTTATATTGCATATGTATTGTATACTTATGTATTATATACGTATATTACATATGTATAAGAGACAGCCTTTCTTCCTTCCTTTCTACATATGTATTTTATATTTCATTTAATTTACACA